CTAATGAAACAACCTAAAGCAGTTAATAAATACTACTATAGAATGATATTAAATTAATTATTACAATGCAATGTCTACAGCAATAATATAAATACTACTATTTTCTTAAACATGTTATATAAATACAATAAAAAAAAACTTTAAACTTGTCTTGTGCAAAGAAAAAAAGGGTGTTTAAAGAATAAATGTTAAAGAACATTAAAAAAAGGCAAACATTTTAAGATTTCTTTTATAAAAGTTAAAATTTTTTATTAAATTTCTTAGAAAATCTAAAAAAATTTGAATTATTTTAATTAAAAGCTAAATGTGGCCATACTTAAATATAATAGTTTACAGTGCTGCCAAGTCTACCTTTTAAGAGAGAGAATAATAAGGATATAAAGAAAGAGATGCCATATCAATTGTGTATAACAAATTTTAATTAAGCGGGTATTTGTACAAAGCTTAAGGTTGCCATACTTAAATATAATAGTTTACAGTGCTGCCAAATCTACCTTTTGTAAGAGAGAATAATAAGGATACGAATAAAGGGATGTCATATCAATTAAGTATAAACAAAACTGTTAAAAGTGTTAACAACTGTTTAAAGCTTAAGCTAAAAAGCTTTAGTTTAATTTTACTTATTTTAAGGTTAGTTTATAGTTAGTTATCTATAGTCCTGATTATTTTAATAAGGACAAAAAAAAAAAAAAAACGTCGAAGCATTAGTACTTTTTTCTTTTTATTTCTTTTTAGTTTGTATTTAAGAGAAATGTGGATTATGTTTTCCAGCATGTCTGGACTAAAGTCCTTGAGTATAAACCGGACTATAACCAATACAGATTCTTTTAACATTGACTAAAAGTCAAAGCGTTCATAATTTTTTCTTTTTATTTCTTTTTAGTTGGTAGAGAAATATAGTCCAAACTATAGAGTAAACTATAGTCCACACTATAATGAAAATTTTGTTTAATATTTAAATAACACTTCTTTTAAACAGCACCTATAAATATTAACTTCAATATTAATTAACTTACCCAGAGTAAAATATTTAATTTATAGTTATTAAAGTATTTTTACTTTATAAAGAGTAGTATTTAATTTTTATACTTTTATTAAACTATTAAAAACTTAAGAATTTTACTAGACGAACTAGTAAATTATTAATATTTTTTCTTTAGTTATTAGAAAAAAACCTATTATTAGTTTAATTTGGTTAAAATTACACTCAATATTTTAAAACTTTTTTTCAAACTATAGAAACATGTTAACTGCAGCAGTCAGTCATTGATTGCATGTCAAGTTTGCATTGTAAATTTAGCATTGAGAAATGACACTTTTTTTTAAAAAATATAAATTGAAGAAATCAAACAATGTTGAGTCGTTGATGATGTTTTATTGGCGCGTGTAATAAAACATAAATTAGCACATAATAATAATTGTTTAATATTAGTAATTACAACAAATTGATAGAATTTTAAAACAAGATTTCTCTAGTTTTTAAGAAAATTAAAAACACTTTTTTAATTGTTTTATTTTTCTTTTTAAAAACAATTAAAATTTTAAGAAAAATCTTAATATTAACTATTTCAACTAATTATTTAAAAAATGTTTAATTTTGTAAATATTTTAATTTGCGCAAAATTAATACTTTTTTAAGTTATTGTGATTTTCTCAGAAATTTGATTTCAATTGTTTTTTTTTTTTTTTTAAATAATTTTAATTATTTTGTTAAAAGTGTTAATTTTTATAGAAATTTTAAATATTTTTTTCAATCATTCCATAAATATTTTATGTATTTAACATCATAATTTATAGTTAATAATTTATGAACAATTTGGTAAAGCTTTTAATAAATTACAAACAATTTGCTTAAGATTTTTTAACAAATTTATTAACAAAACTTGTTTTCAAACACCTGCTTTACATGATAAAACATTAGAAAAATGTTAATTTAAAATGTGTTAAATTTTAAAATAAATTGTATCTAGTTTAACTATATTAATCTACAAAAGTGTTAATTTTTTAACACATAAAAACTAAAAAAACTGACAAATCAATAAATCTTTAATAATAACAAAAAAATAAACTTTATATAAAGTTCAATGTCAAGGTTTTATTCTAAAATGCGTGAGTTATAGAAACGCTTGATCACACACTTCCTCTGATCTCACAAAAATAGAGAGAGAGCGGGAGAAGTAGAGAGTTTTAAAAACATGTGATTTAGTTTGTTGAAATAAAGTGCAGTAGATGCAATGTTTAAAGTCTTTGTTTTTTTGGGGAAATACCCAGTGGGTTTTCTTTTTAAAACAGTATTTAAAAAAAACTGGTTTAATTTATAACAAAACGCGCTTGCGTAGTAATTATGAATCATAGTTAGTGGTGTTATTAACAGAAATTTGCATATTTAAGATAAAATTTGTTTAAAACAAAAGGGGATTTTTTTCTTAACTAGGTATTAATATTTATCTCATGTTTACAACTGTAAACTACTATATAAATATGAAATTAAATTGTAACATTTTAATTATGTTAACTGAATTACCAACAAAATAAATCCCCTTGAAATTATGCATAAGTGCTGCCAATCTTTTAGTTTTACAAACAAAATTCTTGTTTAGTTTAATTAAATTTAATTGGCCTTAAATTCTTGTAAAACTGCCAGTTAATCTAATGGTGTTAATAGACAAATTTATATTTTTTTATTAAAAATTTTGTAATTATTAGGTCATTTGTAGTTTTATGTTGAAAACAATCAAGCTAATGAGTATTACAGTTAAATACAATAACAAACCACATTTTTTCGAAAGAAAACTACTTTTTCAAAATAAATATTAAAGTACGCAACAGTTTTCTTAATAAAGTCCACATTTTATAAAGAATTATGGAATAATTATTCGGCTTAAATTTTGTATAATAGTTTTTTTTAAACAAAAAAAAAAATTTTGTTTAAAAGTTTTAATTAGAAAACTTTGTGGTCAACAGTTTCAGTTAAATTTTGTTTCTATAACAATTTTTTTAAAACAAAATTCTAAATAAAACATTTTTTCAAAAAAAAATTTTGAGTTTAATAGATTTTTGTAGAAAAACATAATTTTTTAAAAAAAAATATCGTATAACAGTTTCTTTGTAAAAAATTTAATATAACAGTATTTTTTTAATAAAAAATTAAAAATAATTTAATTTTTTCTATAGAAAATGTTTATTTAACTAATGAGTATAACAGTTTAAAAAACATTTTTTTTGGGTAAAGAATTGTCTTTTTTGTTGTAAAACGAATATGTATAACAGTTTTGTCTAAAGAAAATTTTAGCGTTGCAGTTTTCCTTAAAAAAAATTTAATATAACAGTATTTTCTGTAATAAATTTTCTACAAAAAATAACTGTTATACAGTTTTTTCTATAGAAAATTACGATTTTAACTGTTTTGTTTATAGAAGATCTTGAATATAACAGATTTTTTTAAAGAAAATTAAATATAAGTTTTCTCTATAGGAAATTATGTTTATAAAGATCTGTTATACAGTTTTTTTTTTAAGACAATTTTGTGTATAATAGTTTTCTGTAAAGAAAATTATGTCTATTACAGTTATCTTTATAGACAATTTTGTGTTTAAAAGTATTTTTAAAGAAAATCTTTGATTATAATAGTTATTTTCATTAAAAAAAATTTATGTATAACAGTTTTCTTTTTTGGGAATTGTGTGTATAACAAATTTTCTGAAGACACATTTCAATAACAGTTATGAATATAAAAAATTGTGTATACAATAGTTTTTTCAAAAAAATTTAATTTATAACAGTTTTTTTTATAAAAAATTACGATTTCAACTAATCTTTCATAGAAAATCGTGTTTATAACAGTTTTTTTCTAAAGAAATGTTTAAGTATAACAGTTTTCTTTATAGAAAATCATGTGTATAACAGTTTGTTTTAAAGAAATTTGTAAGTATAATAGTTTTCTCTACCAAATTTATTTCATTATAACAGTTTTTTCTAAAAAAAATTGTCAGTATAACAGTTTTCTCTACAAAAATTTTCACTAAAACAGTTTTCTTTGTCGAAAATTTCGATTAGAATGTGTATAACAGTTTTCTTAATAGATTTTTTTGGTTTTTAACAGAAATTTTCGATTATAACAGTTTTCTCTATATAAATTTGTTAGTTTTTGAAATGAACAATTTCTTATAAGATTGAAATTTGCCAGTATAACAATTTTCTCTAAAAAAACTTCTCATTATAACAGTTTTATTTCAAAAAACATTACCGAAAAAGTATGTGTTGTTAATAAATTTTTGTTTTTAACAGAAATTCGATTATAACAGTTTTCTCTATATGAAATTTCTTTTAACAGTTTTCTATGGAAAAGGGTAGTGGGTATAACAGTTTTTTTCAATAGAAAGTTGTACGAATAATAATTTTTCACCAAAAAAATATATAACAATATCTCTATTAAAAATTTTTGTTATAACAGTTTTCTTTATAGAAAAAATATAGAAAATATTGATTTGCTATATATTATTTTCTGTATAACAGGTTTTTCTATAAAAAATGTTGATTATAACAGTTCCCTCTATACAAAATTGTTTGTATAAAAGTGAGTAAAATTAAGTATAACAGTTATCTTCAAGGAAACTGTATAAAAGATTTCACTATAAACATTTTGAAGAGATTCCTCTATATGAAATTGGGTGTAGAACAGTTTTCTGCACAAAATTCTCTATCAAAATTTTATGTATAACAGTTTATTTTTATAAAAAATCAAGTTATTAGAGATTTTACTAGAAAAGAATTTCTATATGTATATACATTTTTATGAAATGTGTATAACAGTTTTTCTTTTAAAAAAATGCGTGTATAACAGTTTTTTCTTCAAAAAAGTCTTTTTTAATTCTGTGGAAAATTTACGAAACCCATTAAATTGGCAAAATTGTCTTAAATTTGTCTTTACATATACATACAATTTATTTTGATTAATCATTTTTTTTTTTTTTTATACTAAAAAAAAGAATTCACATATCAAACTTGTTGCCTTTATACTCAAACATGTTCGTAAACAAAACTCAAACAACATGCACAACCACGATGATTTTAATAATTTATTTATGGTTAAAGATCAGTGTCACCATGTTAAGCACAAGGAGCGTCCACTCGCTGTTTTCGTACTCAATAGCGGAAGAAAAATTTACATAATTTTTGTAACAAACACAATAAAACACATACGCATACAATAAACAGCAACAAGAACAAAGAACGTTTTAAAAACCACAAAAAATCAACAATGAATAAAATAAATATTCAAAATTAACGTTTCAATTAGCCTTGCCATTAAAAATATAAGTAAAAAGTGGCCCTCTTTTGTATTACAAGCACTTCCGTTTATTTTATAACAACAATCTGGTTACTCTCTTATAATAAACTAGTTTTTTTCTCTGTCTCTCTGTGTACTTCAACATTTTTTCTGCAATTACCACTTGGCAGCACTGTTTCTTTCTTATTGAAGTGGCAACGAAACGAAAATAAATAGTAAATCAGAAAGACAAAGGAGAAGAGAATGGAAAAAATGAAAAAAGAAAGAATTGAAAAAAGTGTCGACAGTGAAAAATGGCTTTCTTAAATAAAATAGTTAAAAAATAATAAAAAATACCTAAAATATTAGTAAATTAAAACGTGTATTTATTAAATTTAAACTTTATTGTAAAGAAAAAAGCAAAGTATTAAGAATAAACAACAAAAAATTACGAAAAGGAACCTTTTTAAATTAGTGTATAGAATCGAATTTTTTTATGTTGCGTTTTGTGATGGAAAATATTTTTTGTGTATAACAAAATTTCGTAAAAAACTTTTTCCAACCATACAATTGACGGAGAAGAGGAGTGTAATTTTTTTTTTTGTTATAATTTGTAATACAAAGGAAAAAAATATATAGGAAAAAGAAAAAACCATTTAATTTAACTAACTAAAAGAAAAAAAGATTTTTTATATAAAAAAGAAAAAAATTAAATAAAGAAAAAATTATATGGAAAAAAATATATATTTAACGTCATGTTGTTAAGAAAGCCTAAAGGAGATGTGTGTTGAAAATCTTAAAAGATTTATAATCATTAAAACAACCACCTAGAAAAAGAATTAAAAATTTAAAGCCCGAAAAAAAGGAATAAAACAAGAGCGCCCAATATGTCTTCAGCAACTTTAACATTGCCATCACCATTACCAACTAACACAGCAACAACAACAAGAACAACACCATTAACTTGTGCAGCAGCAAAGAACTCGTCATCAACAGCAAATTTGTGGTCGCCCATAACAATTACATGTAAATCTCAAGCTAAAATAAATTTATTAACAAATTCTCAACAGCAACAACAAAAGCCACAAAAACAACAACAATTAACACCAGCAATAATAATAAATTCACATACAGCTCCAGCATTAGCTGCAGCTGGAGCCGCTGCCGGAGCTGCTGCTGCTTCATCATCATCATCATCTGCAACATGTTTACATTTACATGCAATTTATCCTAAAAATAAGCGTAAATATTATTTAAATAATAATAAAATTCACAAGGAACGTAGAAAACGTCACAACGTTACAAACGATGATGGCATTAATAGTTATTTAAGCTTAATATTATTAGTAACATTTACGAAACCTTTAACCATGTGGTATCGTTTTATAAAAAGTATTATCTTAACTTCATCAACCACAACAACAGCAACATCATCACCCACAACAAGAGCAACACAAAGACTTTTTAGTAAAGGTTCTGTAAAAACCACCTCATCCTCCTCACCCACCTATAATTCCAAATCCTCATTATCCTCCACATCCAACACCTTTACATCCTTAATTAACCTTAATAATAAAAACAAAACATCCCACAACTCCTCCTCCTCCTCGTGCTCTCCTGCATTACGTTTGAAGCCCTCGAAATCGCCGTCATCATCGCCATCATCATCACCTAGTAAATGTATACGTGTTTTACCACCCATTGCCACTACCACATCATTTTTTACTTTACTAACCATTATCTGTTTGGAGACCATTCTACTCTCTACCATGTCCAGTTGTGCAAAAACTTTTTACATGCACTGGAACACCTCGAATAGTATATTTCGCATTGATAATACCGATCATATAATCGATGTTAATAAAGGTAATCTGGCCTTTGAATTCGATCAGGTGCACATCATTTGTCCGGTCTATGAACCTGGCACTTTCGATAATGAAACGGAAAAGTATATTATTTATAATGTCTCAAAGGTCGAGTACGAAACGTGTCGGATAACGAATGCCGATCCGCGTGTCATTGCCATATGTGATAAGCCACAAAAATTGATGTTTTTTACCATAACGTTCCGGCCATTTACACCACAACCTGGTGGTTTGGAGTTCCTTCCTGGGAATGATTATTATTTCATTTCAACGTCTTCGAAAGATGACCTCTATAGACGAATAGGCGGCCGCTGTTCTACCAATAACATGAAGGTCGTCTTTAAAGTTTGTTGTGCCTCAGAGGAAAAGAATAAAACGACTACCATAGCGACGGGTGGTAGTTCGGGAGGCAGTGCGGGCAGCACCTCCACCACAGCGGTGGGTAGTGCTTTGCCCACCGACTCGGCTGGTAATAGTGGCGAGGACATAACGAATATGCACTCGAACCAAAACAATCAACAGCAGCAGAGTCATCCTCATCATGGTAACAATATCAATACAATAGGCATAAATGGCATTAATACAGGCATGCTACCCAATGGTGTGATGAATACCGGCCTAGGCGGTATGGGTAATAATCAACACAATGGTTTGCAACTGAATCCCATAATGAATAGTCCTAGTGGAAATGTGGCCACCTCTATTAATACCAACATAGATCAATTCAATCGTATACCCCTGCAGCCGAATAGTATTAATGTGCTGAGCAATAATATAGGCGGCGGTATGGGCATGGGCAACATGGGTCCTCCCGGCATGAGTGGCAATAATGGTTTGGGTCTGGGTTCACATGGCGGCTCCGGCATTTTACTCACTCCCGGTCATAATGGCATTAATATGATAGCCTCGGGTGGCGGAGCGGGCGGCCTACCCGGCATTCATCAATATCCCGGTCATGGTTATCATGGGCAGACCGGCATACGTATTAATAATGTTCCCTCGACGCATCATACCAATCTTAAGAATATGCAAAATAATAACAACGATAATGATCATCATCATCCCTATGATAAGCATCCAAATGAGGTTGTAAAGAATGAAGAACTAACCTATAATAGAGCTGCCTCTTCAATGACTACGGCCACAGCATTATCCTTAATCTTTGTGCTAACACTAGCCTTACAGATTTGCTACTGGGTTTAAGTGTTTCTTTTACTTATTTTTCTTTTTATTTCAATTTAATTATTACAATTATAATTTGTAATGTTTGTGTTGAAGATGGTTGTGTGTAGTAAACATTAATGACCATTTTCTTAACAACAACATTTATAAACTTACTTACACACACACTTACACTTAAATACTATACGTTAATGATAATGATAAGGAGTGCAGCTTATCTGGTAAGCAGTAGTAGTAGCAGTTTAAGAGAAGTGGCTGGTAAACAATGAAGAAACAGAACAGTTTGTACATTTTAAGTCTATTTTATATAATAATTAATTAATAATAATAATAAATAATATAATTTTAGTTTATATCATAAAGAACAAAAAAACAAAAACAGAAGAGTAAACAATTAACAAGAAAAAACCCCAACAACAACAACACTTTTTGTAATTTTATTAATACAAAATATTAAAGGCCTAACCATAATTAGTTTAAGTTAACTTAAATAAATCTTCATAAAACATTAACAAAAAAACATTCAAACAAACAAAACGAACAACATTTTACAGCAAAGAAATGAAAAAATAAAAAACAAGAGCAAATTTGTATGAATTAACAACAAACCAACAAACAACAATAACACTCAACATACATTTTTTCAAACATACACAAACAGACAAACAAACAACAAATACTCAAACAAAAACTCACCTACAGACGACCATCATTAAACATTCTAATTCTCTTAAAACATACACAGACACACTAACAAACATTCAGACATACACATACACTCATACTCACACACACATACACTCTCATACTCTAACTCGTATTTATGTAAACAGAAGAAGAAAAAAACAGAAAGAAAACATAACAGTTAAAGAAATAGTAAGAGTACTCAATTATATAATAATAAGTTGTACTTTCCATCATCATTAACATTACCGACATCATCACCAACATCGCCATTGTCATCATCAAGTTTTTCGTCAACTTAAAGGCCTTTTTTTAAGACACCCCCCCCCCTCCCTTGCCCTACCACCCCCCAAATATAAACTTACAATTTTAAATACTTGTATTTTGGGGGTGAAGTAAAAAAACACCAAGCTGGTATTTTGAAATTGTTAGAATTTAAAAAAGAAAGTTTTGAAATTTCACATTTTGAATTTGTATATTAAATACAAACAGACTTCAGGGAACTTTCCAACTGACTGGTACTTTATCTTTAGTTTCAATGACTTTATTAATAAAAAATTTATTTTAGATTTGTTTAAATCAAAAATTGTAAATATTTGAAAGTTATATTTTAGAACCTTAATTACAACAAAAACTTTTTTGTAAAATTATATGTATTTGTAACCAAAATTTTGCCGTTTAAAACAATAAAAAAAACTACTCTTCACAAAAGTACCAAAATTTTATTGGCTTAAAATTATTACTTTTTTAGGAATTTAAATATTTTTAGTAAAAAATACTTATTTTTTAAAAAGTACCAAGAAAGTACTTTTTTCAAAAAAGGAATTTTTGAACAAAATTTTATGTTTTTAGGCAATATTTCAATATCTATGAAAATAATTAAAAAACTGACTTTTTTTAAAAAAGTACCAAAAAAGTACCATAAAACCAAGCAATTATTACAAAAAGTACTTTTATCAAAACATTAAATCAATAGACTTTTTCATTTTATGAATTTTTATAATTTTTGCCCAGAAAAATTCAAAAAATTACAATTTTCAAAAAAGTACCAAAAAAGTACTTTTTCAAAAATGATATGTAGTTAATTTAAAACATTCTGCGCATAAAAATTAATAAAAAAAATTACTTTTCGAAAAGGTACCCAAAAAAGTACTTTTTTAAAAAGTGGGATTTTTTGGAATTTTTTTAACAAAATTTTAAGATTTTAAACAACAATCATGAATATTTCCAACAAAATTGCTAATTTTTTACAAAAGTACCACCAAAATTACATAAAATTGACTTTTCGAAAAAGTACCCAAAAAAGTACTTTTTCAAAAATTAGATTTTTTAACAAAATTTTAAGACTTTAAACAAGAAATCATAAACTTTTCATAATTTTTTATTCAAAATTATAAAATACTACTTATTTTTACAAAAGTAGTAAAAAGGTACTTTTTCAAAAATGGAATTTTGAACAAAATTTTAAGATTTTAAACAAAAATCAAGAATATTTCCAACAAAATTGCAAATTTTTTTACAAAAGTACCATTAAAATTAAAAAAAAAATACTTTTCGAAAAAGCACAACAAAATACTACTTATTTTTACAAAAGTAGTAAAAAAGTACTGTTTCAAAAATGGAATATATAGACAAAATTTTAAGATTTTAAACAAGAAAGAATTAACTTTTCATATTTTCTACTTTAAAATTAAAAAATACTACTTATTTGTATAAAAGAACCCAAAAAGTACTTTTTTCAAAAATCGTATTTTGAAGAGAATTTTTTCATATTTTCGGCAACAAAATTAAAAAACTACTACTTTTGTTTAAAAGTACCAAAAAAGTACTTTCTGAAAAATGGATTTTTGAAAAAATTTTATGAATTTAAACAAGAAATCATGATTTTTTCAAATAATTTCAACAAAAAGTACCAAAAAGAGTACTCTTTCAAATATGGAATTTTTAATAAAATTTTATGACTTTAAACCAGAAATCATAAGTATTTTTTATTTTTCACAACAAAATTAAAAATCTTAAAAAAGTACTTTATGAAAAATGGAATTTTGATCAAAATTTTAAGATTTTAAGCAAGAAATCATGAATTTTTCTACTTTTTATCAAACAAATTAAAAAATTACTTATTTTTATAAAAGTACCAAAAAAGTACTTTTTCAACATTTAAATTTTAAACAAAATTTTATAATTTTAAGCAAGAAATCATGGACTTTGCAAAATTTTAGGATCAAAATTAAAATTTTAACATTTTTAAAAAAGTACCAAAAAAGTACTTTTTTCAAAAAACGAATTTTAACTTATTTTTTTAATATTAAAGGAAAAATAATAATTTTTTAAAATATTTTTATTAAAATTTAATTTTTCAACAAGAGTAACCAAAAAGTACTTTTCTGCAAAAAAGGAATTTTAGCAAATTTGGAAGATTCTAAAGATAACTTGAATGAATTTGTTACTTTATAATAAAGAAAATCTATAGCTAATCAAATTTTGAAGAAAATTATTTAAACAATTTTTAAAATTCTAAAAAAGTTTCCTAATAACAGTTTGTTGTTATTTTTTACTGTGAGTAGAATGAGCGGGCGGTGGTCTTTTTTTATACAACACAAAAGTATTAAGCATATAAGACAGACAGATAAAAAAAACAAGAAAATACCATGTTAAGTTTACATTACGAAATGAATCATTGTCATCGTAGTCAACTTAAGTAATTCATCTCTCTCATCATACAACAAAACATTTGATAAGAAAACAAAATAATTGAATTTAATAATAATAATTAAAGAAATAAAAAAAAACAAAAAAAACACATATTAAATATAAAAAAAACAAAAAGAATGTAAACAGTTTTTAACAGTATAAAAACAAGAATTAATAAAAAAAAAACAAAACAGATTAAATTAAACATAAAAATAGACATAAATATTAAATAAATAAATGAAAAATGACATTATTTTAAGTTCAACAAATACTATTATGGGAAGCTATAGATACGTTGTTTTTTTTAAAACACAAAACTTATCTAGGCAAAACATATTTAAAGACGAACAAGAAGACTTGACAACAAAAACCATAATATGAATATGATTAAACGTTTAAAACATAATTATTAAGGGTTTAAGATTGTTTTCAACTTGAACCCTTAATTTTTTTTACATACAACACAGTCACACAAACATTTTTTCATCATACATAGTATATTTACTTACATACAAACAAAACCCATAATAGTTTAAGTTGTACTTTTTTGCAAAGTCAAGTTTTAAACGAAAAAATATGAAGAAGAACAAAATAATAAAACGAACTGAAAGTAAAAAAAAGTATGCTAAGTTGAAAAAGTATAAAAAAATACTTAAAATACAGAATGAAAATATTAAGTTACAATTTATTGAAACTTAACACAAAATAACTTAAGCAAAAAACGAAAACAATTGATAAAAAAAAACAACACACACACACATTTACACTTACACACTATTTAAAAAAAACACCTTCTTTTGGAAAAGATTTATATAATAATAAAGATGTTTGGTTGTAAATTTTTAGAAAGCACATATTGTTTAGTATGCTTGAGTTACAAGCTTAATCAGGCAGCTGTAAATTTTGTAAATTTTTTTAAAATAATAACTTTAAAATTGAAGGAAGATGCTATTTTACACCATTTCCTAAAGAATGTAAAAAGAAATCTCATTTCTCTAAAATTTTAAAAACTTGTATCATTTTTCCGTTAAAATTAAACAAAAATTCTCAATACCTATTTTTATAATGGATCCACATTTTCGAAAAAGATCTTATAAACCTATATAGAAAGTAATGATAACAATTTTAAGTCTTATACAACAACTTTTAGAATATACTCAATCCTTTCAAGAAATCTTTATAAAATTGTTAAGAGAATCTGTTTAAAAGTTTCCCAAATGTTTATAGGTATATCACTTGGCAGCTATTTCCAAATAGTATTTGTTAAATTTATAAGCTTGAGATTAAACAAATTTTAAAATTTTACAAAATTATTCTTTATAAATTTTAAAATGCACTTTTATTAATTGCAAATGTTGCCTTATGTCTGCTATTCATTATGATAAGATGAATTCCTTAAAGTTAAGTAAACAACTTTATGTTGTGGACAGGATCTGGCAGGTTTAAGCCGAACCCTTTAAAGAAAACTGATCTAAAAACTGAAAAATGTTTACACAAGATTCCCACATCTTAAACAACAAATATACAGGGATTAACAAATATATTTGTATACCTAAAGAAAGCTTACTTCCAGGTTATTATTATATTAACAAATTTCTTTCTTTCAAAGCCCTCAATGAACTAATTTGTTAACAAAAGATACCGACAAGCTGTTACCATTTTTACACAAAGCATAAAACTTTAAATTGTATTAAAACCTTATCAAATATTAAATAATTTCTTAATTTTCAAGCTTTAAACTATTAAGTGCAACACAAATTATAAATTTTATACTAACAAACTTATTTTCCTTCAAAGAAGCCTCAAAATTTTGGCCAAATTCTTACACACTTACCTCTTTATAGTTTTGCTATATTCTACGGCTGTTTAAATTCTCAAATTTTGTTGTAATTTTGTAGAAAATTTATTAAATATAAATTCTATTACAAATTTAGCTTATATAACACTGATTTTTATTAATTTTTGCTAAGAAATTTTAAAAATTTTAAAATTTTTTCTAAATTTACACATTTTTTATTAAACGCCATTTCACTTTTCAATGTCAAACATTTTACTGTCGCGTTTTTATAAAAAACACTTTATTTTGTTAACAAATTTATTACTTTTTGTTTAAAATTTGTTATAAATATTATGTTATACTTATTTTTATTAATTTTTCTTAAAACAATTTGATATTTTCTTTAATTTTTCACTTTTTTATATTTTCCCTCGTTATTGCAATTTTTTTTCTAACGTAAGCAACAAAGCTGCCACATAGTTGATAATTTTCATAAAAGTGTAACCAGATGTAAGGGAAATGGCAGCTTTAGCTAAAAAGCTTAATAAATCTCCTCACAAAAGGGGAAATTCGTAAACAAATAGTAAAATTACTGTAATTTCTAAACGGTTTGAGCAATTTTAATAAAATTTAACACAATTAAAGAAAAATTAAAGCTGATTTAAATGATTTAAAACAAAAAAGTAATAGATTTAGTAAAGACCTTCAAAAAAGATCTTTAAATGTGTTAGCTGGGAAATTAAAGGTCTTTTAAAGATTTTTGTTTATAATTAAAAAAAATTATAAATATGCAAATCTTTTCATTAAATTTAAAAATTTTTGACACTGATATTGTTATTTCTTACTTCAAAGTTTTTAGTTTTACAAAAAATTATATTTAAATTTAAAATTTTCTCCTTTAAATAACTTTTTTAATGGAAAAACTTCAAAAAGAAGGTGTTATTTTTAAAAACATAAATAAACATAGACAACATAATATAAAAAACATTTGAAAAAAATGATGTAAAAAAATTTTAAGATATGATTAATAAGATGAAAAACAAAATAAAAAAAAAAAAAAAATACAATTAAATTAAACATAGATATTAAAAAAAGTAATTAATGAAAAAATGATATGAAATTAAATGATATTATTTTAAGTTCAACAAATTCTATTATGGGCAACTTAAACAATATTTGACAGAACTTAAATAAACAATTTTTCGTTTATTAATTAAAAAACAAAAACAAAATCTCTCTAACTCTTTAA